GAACTCACTCTGTAGACCAGACTGGCCTCAAACTCAGAGAATGACCTGCTTGTGCTTCCTGAGTGCTGGGATTAAAGTCGTATGCCACTACTACCATCACCAGCACTGGGCTGAGATTTAGTTATTTTTGTTTTATGGATGTTTTAATTACATGTATGTATATGTGCCACATGCATGCCTTATGCTCACAGAGGCCTGAAGAAGACATCAGATCCCCTGGAACTGGAGTCACAGGAGGTTGCTGGCCACCATGGTGATGTTGAGAATTGAGGACCCAGGTCCTCAGGAAGAGCAATCAGTATTCTTAACTGCTGACTCCAGATCCCTTTGCTTTTGCTTTGAGTTAGTTTCTGTTGCTCATGCTGGCTTCGAATTCCCTATGTGGCCAAGGATGACCCTTAACTTTTTTTTTTTTAAATATTTATTTATTTATTATGTATACAATATTCTGTCTGTGTGTATGCCTGTAGGCCAGAAGAGGGCACCAGACCTCGTTACAGGTGGTTGTGAGCCACCATGTGGTTGCTGGGAATTGAACTCAGGACCTTTGGAAGAGCAGGCAATGCTCTTAACCTCTGAGCCATCTCTCCAGCCCCGACCCTTAACTTCTTATCCTCCTGCTTCCTCTCACCTCCCAACTAATGGTGAGTTCCCCACGCTGATTTTGTTTGGTACTGGAGATCAAACCCAGAGCCTGCGAGGCCAGAATGCTACCAGCTGAGCTACATCCCTGGACTGTTTTGATTTTGTTTCTTGAACCAGGATTTCACTCTAAACCTGGCTGGCCTCAAATTCGTGGCAGTTCTCCTACCTCAGCCTCCCAAACACTGGCAGGATAGGCATTCGCCGCCCCCCCCAGGCCCACCCCACCTGCTCGCTTTTTACCCCCAACCCATTTCAGTAAATGTAGATTTTTGTGTCTTAGGCGTGTGTTAGACCTAGCGCACACCTATATGGAGTTGCAGCATTCACCTCTCAGCCGTTGCCTGGCAGCCGCCCTCACTGTCGCAGACGTCTTGGTTTGGTCCCTGAGGCAGGTACGCTTTGGTCCATCCTCTTCTCAGCACTGCCCCTCCCCCACCTGTAACTGTGACCGCTGGCCCTTTCCTGGACAATTACTTTTAACAGTGTTTTGTTGTCTGCTGCACCTTTTCTGGACAGCAACAGCCGCCACCTGCATCCAAGTAGCTTGAGTTTTGCCTGGGGGTGAGCATCACCTGATCCAAGAGCTGGCGATCTGGGGAGTATTAAACGGTCCCTTGAGCCTCCCTGTCATTGCTCAAAGCCGGTAGGCTGGGCTGCCCCCTTCTGGCTCATCTGGTCCAGTCTCCCTGTTTTCTCTTTGCTGGTTATTGAGACTTTCTGTCTCCCAGTCCCAAGCTCTCAGCTCTGCCCACCATGCGTACCTCCCCCAGCCATCCCTGCAGCTGGATCTTCCATATTAGAGGCGCACAAGTGCCAGACACGGGGATGCGCACCTGCAGTCTCCGCTGGTGGGAAACTGAGGCTGAGGAGTTAGAGATGGGCCTCTGCTGTAGAGTGAGACTCAGTCTGGGACAAACACACAAAATGCAGACCATTGTCTGATAGGATTTGTGTGTCCTGCTTTCTATAAATTAGGAATTCAGAAAAAGCCTCAGCTTGCTGATTGCTTTTCTTCTTTTTAATTTTTTTTTTGGGGGGGGGATAGGAGTTCACTATGTAGCCCAGAATAGCCTCCCACTTGAGAAGTCTTCTGCCTCTGCCTCTGCCTGTGCTTCCTGAGTGCTGGGATTCCAGGGGTGTACCACTATGCTTGAGTGATTCATTGATCTTTTTTCTTCTATTCTTTCTTCAGTTTTAAAATTTTTTTAGAGTGTGTGTATGTATGTGTATCTGTGAGTATATGCCATGTGTACATGGGTACCAGAAGAAAGTGTTGTGGTCGGGTGGTGGTGGTGCACGCCTTTAATCCCAGCACTTGGGAGGCAGAGGCAGGTGGATCTCTGTGAGTTCAAGGCCAGCCTGGTCTACAAGAGCTAGTTCCAGGATAGGATCTAAAGCTACAGAGAAACCCTGTCTCAAAAAACCAAAAAAAAAAAAAAAAAAAAGAGTTGTTACTGGTTGATTGTTTTTTTGTTTTCTGGTTTTCAAGACAGGGTTTCTCTAGTGGCCTTGGCTGTCCTGGAACTCACTCTGTAGACCAGGCTGGCCTTAAACTCAGAGATTGGCCTGCCTTTGCCTCCCAAGTGCTGGGATTAGAGACTAGAGGCACGCACCACTACTGCCCGGCTAAAATGAGTTTTTGAGCTGGGATAGAGCTGGCTTGGTAGAGAGCTTGCCTAGCTTGCCTGGTGGCACACACCTGTAATTTTTGTACTTGAGAGCATGAAGCTTAAGGATCATTCCAAGTTTGAGACTGGCCTGTTCTACACAGGGAGTCACAGGCCAGCCTGAACTATGTAGTGAGACACGACGCCCCAAATATCACAAAGTTATTTGTTTAGTGAGACAAAAATTCTTGCCATGTAGTCTTGGCTGTCCTGGAACTCCTGATACAGACCAGGCTGGCCCTGTCTGTGTGGCCTTTTCCTGCCTCTTGAATGAAGGTCTGTGTCACTATGCCCAGATCATTTTTTGTTGCTGTTCATCTGATAACTGTCTAACTGGGCATATTGTATTTTATCTGGTAACCCTACTTGTGTGTCTTCTCTCCAAAGGTCCTACTACAATGTAGACAGGGAAGACTCTTAACTATTAGAGAAGAAAAATGTGAGGAGTGAGGTGGGCCATGAAGAGGGCTGATGGAGGGCTAGGAAGGAGGGACACAGCAGGAGTCCTCTCTGGGCAGATGGCGGTGGGAGGGTCTGTAAGATCACTGTGGGTTGCTGTGGGTCCTGGGTCCAGACTGGAGATAGTAGGCTTTCCCGTTTGCCCAAAGCCTCTAAAAGGGGTCTGACTACTGTTCTTTTGGGGGGCTCTCTGAGCCCAGGACCTGACTGTGGATAGGGCTGTGGCACACAGCATAAGATATGAGAGTTGGGGTTCTGGGGAGTCAAAGGAAGTGACTGAGCTCTGCTTTTGGGTTGAAAAACATCCTGAATATGACCCCAGAAAAGAATTGGGAGATTCAGTGGCCTTCGTTGCTCTTTTATTTTTTTCCTCTTTCCTTCTCTTCTTCCTTTCTCCTTTCCTCCCTTTCTTTCTTTTTCAAGATAGGGTCTTATGGATCCTGGGCCGGTCTGGAACTTGCTGTGTAGCTAAGCATGACCTGAACTCCTAATCCTCCTCTATCCTCTCCTGAGTACCGGGACTATAGCGTTGTGTTGGTGCTGTGTGGTTTAAATCCAGTGCCGAGCAGAAGGCTAGGCTAGGCCCTCTTATATTGAGTGGGATGATATCTCCAGTTTTTCTCTGTCTGGCTTTGTTGCTCAAGCTGGCTTCAAATTCATAGCGACTTTCCTGTCTCAGGTTCTCGAATCTGAGATTACAGGTATGCTTCCAGCCCTGACCACAGAACTGCAGAATATTATTTTTTCAGTACTCGGGTTTAAACTGGGGCCTTGTATGTGATAGGCAAGCAATCTACCACTGAGCCTCATCCCGAGCTTCTCATTGTTTTTTAGGATAGCATCTCTCTGTGCAACAGCCCTAGCTTTAGCCCAGGCTGGCCTCAGACTCACAGAAATCTGCCTGCCTCTGCCTCCTGAATGCTGGGAATTAAAGGCATACATTACCACACCCAACATTTTTTTTAAAGTCTGTTTCATCAATGTAGTTCAAGCATGTTTTGAAATCACCAGGAGCTAACCCAGGAGGGCTTTGATTCTTGATCCTCCTGCCTCCGTTTCTCTACTTTGGGTATAGCAGGCATGGGCTACCATGACCAACTGACATTTACATTTTAATTTATGTGTGTGTGTGTGTGTGTGTGTGTATGGGGTGTAGGTGTGCCACTGTGGACATGTGGAGGTTGGAGTGTGGGAATCAATTCTGTCATTCCACTGTGTGGGTCCTGAGGATGGAACTCAGGTTGGCAGCACCTTTTCCTGCTGAATCCTCTCACAAGCCAGGTGGTGAATCCTCTCCCCATACCCCTGAGACAGAATTTCTTTGTGTAGCTCTGGTTATCCTGGAACTTGCTCTGTAGATCGGGCTAGCCTCAAACTCAGAGATCTGCATCACGAATGCTGGGGTTAAAGGCATGTACCTGCACTGCCCAGCAAGTGAATACTTTTAAATAAAAATCAGTTTGCTTTCTTCTCCATTTCACCAAGATTGCCCTCTCTAATGCCTCCCAGATTTACAGGACCTGACACTGAGCTCAGTAAAATAGGCCACCTTCCTGGACGGGGACTAGGAGTGAAAGAGGCAGGAAATAGGAAGCAGGGAATAAGAATAGCATCAACTCACTGTGTTCAGGAAGGAGAAGAGTATAGGGACCACCCAGTCATAAAGTGTAGAGACCACCCATTCATAAAGTGTAGAAACCACCCATTTATAAAGTGTAGAGACCACCCATTTATAAAGTGTAGGGACCACCCATTTATAAAGTGTGGGGACCACTCATTCATAAAGTGTAGAGACCACCCATTTATAAAGTGTAGGGACCACCTATTCATAAAGTGTGGGGACCACTCATTCATAAAGTGTGGGGACCACTCATTCATAAAGTGTAGAGACCACCCATTCATAGAGTATAGAGACCACCCACTCCTCAGTAATTCTTGTCGCCTCCAGCCATAACACAATAACATTCTTGCAACTAAGTGCATTAGTTCTAACAGGACAAAGCCTGAAACCTTCCATAATGTCAGGTCATGTTTTGTACCAAGTGAATAAGACAAAACAAGACCCTTTAGAATGTAAAGATTTCAGGGTTTGTTGTTATTTAGGAAGGAGACTACTCTCATAAAAATTCCTTCGGATAGAAGGAGTGCAGTTTTCTACATCACCACTAGAGGGCATTCGGTTCCATTTTATCTGGGGTCCTTGCTGATGAAGGTTCTTTCTCCTTTCAGCTTGCAGATGCTGGCAGGTTACCCAACCTGAAGGAACTTCTCCAGTCCTCGAGAGACACAGACACACAGGCCTGGGACCTGGTGAGCTGGATTTTATCCTCCAAGATCCTGACAATCCACAGCGCAGAGAAGGCAGAGGTAAGACTGGTGTGTAGGTCACAGGTTCTAAGGCTGACTGGCTCTGAGACCTCCCTGGGTACAAATGGGCAGCTGGTTGAAATGCAGGTTCGTGGGTATCACTCTCAGAGATTCTCGGTATATGTCTGAAGAGCCCAGGAACTCACACACTGGCAGGTTCAGTACGGCACATGTCTCCTTATCTGTAAATGGGGATAACTATGGTGTACCTCAGTTGGGTGAATGCCCAATCAGCTTTAGGAATGAGTTTTCACACTTGGAGCATTATCTAGGAGCACATACAGAGGGCTCAAATGTCTATCAAAACTGCAGACACTTCTGCTAAGTGAAGGCCCTGTTCACACCTTAGTGATGTTGCTTAAGGAGATAAAAGGAGGGCTGGAGAGATGGCTCAGCCATTACAGGCTAGGCTCACGACCAAAAATATAAGGAGAGAAGGGGAGGAGAGGTAGGGAAACTGGCCCAGTCCAGCTGATAAACAGTGAAGTACCCCAAAGTACTGGTGATGCAGACTTTGTCCAGTGAGGGGGAAACATGAGTCAAATAATCCCAAGATAACTCCAAATAGAGTATTTTAAGGTTATTCCTTATTAAAAGGGAAAACTCACAGAACAGAAACAGGGATCCAGCATCAAAGTGTGGAGCAAGGGAAGAAGAGGCTGAGCTGGGTGGGACTGCAGCTTTTTGGGTACCCAAAAGTCACGCCCCAACCTGGTCCAGCCTCTTAAAGGCCGTTGACTGAAGGAGGTTGCCTATCACCTCCACCTTTTGTCTAAATAAGAGAGTTCCAAACCCAATACAAAACTATACACACTAACAAGAGATATCAGGCATAAAAATTAGAATCACAACTAGCATAAACAATATTAAGCAAGGAGCATATGCTAAATGTTTAATAATCATTTTATCCTAAGGACTCTAAGTATTGCATTAGAAATGGCTTGGTTAGTTCATAAGAGGAAGGTAACTATGACTACCTAATCTTCAACCCCATCGAAGACCTGAGAAGGGAGATAGTATTACTTGAGTAGGCAGGAAGTGCAATCAAGCAGCTTCCAAAATATGTAGTAGATGACAGAGACAACTGGCTACCTAGGTAATCACCCAAAGTCTCATTTGCAATGTTGAAGTAACCAACTTTGGCTAAGGCCTAGAGTAACTGACAGACCATTTTCTGAGGCAGGAAAAATTTCGGAACTGTCTTACCCTGTCTTGGCGAGGTTTGGCAGTCTTTTTTCTTGTATCCTGCTTGTCCGGTCTGGACACTGTGCGTTTTGTCAGTGGTCAAGGCATGAACAGTTTCTTGCCCAAAGGCCAGTTTTGCCAAGAAGAAAACAAGCTCCAAGTGGAGTGTCTTTGGTGCTCAACATTCTCTCGGGAATAGATCGGTGCTACCAGGAACAATCGTGTCTCACGTCAACAGAACCCTAAATTATTTAAATGCCATGTTCTACAGATCTTTCATGTTTTGAGTTCAAATCTTATTTCAGCCAATTATTGAGCCCCTTTTGTAAGGTGAGACCATAGTTATCCCCAAGAGGAGCAGTGACAGAAAGGGTATGACCCTAACACAGTTTTTGGCAGAAGCCAGATGTCCCATAATTTAGTTTTCTTTGCCTGGCTGGAGGCTCACAGGAACAGGCTGGAACAACAGGGTCCAAAGTAGGTCATATAATTCCTGGTCTGGTATTCTGTTCTCTGAGTGGCAATGGCAGGTTGGCTATATGTGCTGTTACCAAGTTAATCAATTTCAAGTAAGCATTGAATTTGATTTGATTTGATTTGATTTGATTGTTTGTTTTGGTTTTTTAAGACAGGGTTTCTCTGTGTAGCTTTGGAGTCTGTCCTGGAACTCACTTTGTAGACCAGGCTGGCCTCTGCCTCCTGAGTGCTGGGATTAAAGGCATGCACCACCACCGCCCAGCAGGAAACATGAGGGAGTCATGAAGAGGGCGTCTGTATTCCAGAGTGGGTTGAGCTGCTTCCTTTATTGAATGGAATCATTTACTCAGACCTCATACAGATCAAGGCCCTGCTAGATGTTGGCCATTACAGCTAAAGCAGATGTGATGGTGACTTCTTGACTTTTGATTATGATCCAATTTAAATTCACATTAAAATGTGGGATGGTGTCAGGGTGGGGCTGGAGAGATGGCCAGTGGCTGAGAGCACTTGCTGTCCTTGGAGAGGACCTGGGCTCGGTTCCCAGCATCCATATGCAGCTGACAACTGTCCTTAATTCTGGTTTCAGGGGATCCAGTGCCTGCTTCTGGCTCTCATGGGCACCTGAATGCCTGCAGTGCACATCCAGACAAAGAGGCACACACATATACACATACACAATAAAAATGAATACAATATATTAAATGTGGGGGTTTGGTATCCAGGAATATCAGCTTTTTATTTTGTTCAAGTCAGCACATTTGCCTACCATGTATTGTCACTTTATGAAAGGACATTTTAGCTGGACATGGTGGTGCACACTTGTAGAGCCAGCATTTGAGAGGTGGAGGGAAGAGGAACAGGATTTTAAGGCCACTGGAGGGCAGCCTGAGTTGCATGAAATCTCAACAAAACAAAACAACCACCCCCCGCCCCCCGGAAAAAAATCTCTTAAAACACAGGGGCTGAAGAGAAGCTTCAGTAGTTAAGAATGCTTGTTTCTCTTTCAGAGGAGCTGAGTTTAATTTTCAGAACCCACAGATGGGCAGCTACCAACGGACTGTAACTGCAGTTCTGGGGTCCAATACACTCTTCTGACCTTCACTGGGACCCTGCCCACTTGCTCCCCGACCATAAATAAAATAATAAACAAATATTCTAACAAAAAAGTGTGTGTGTGTGTGTGTGTGTGTGGGTGGAACGTTAAAAATGATCCAAGCATGGTGGCTGTACACACCTTTAATCTCAGCACTTGGGAAGCAAAGGCAGGCAGATCTTTGTGTTCAAGGCCAACCTGGCCGACAGAGTGAGTTCCAGGACAGCCAGGGCTACACAGAGAAACCCTGACTTAAAAAACAACAACAAAAAAAAAAAAAAAGAAAGAAAGAAAGAAAAGAAAAAGAAAAAAGTTAATACTTAAAAAGGATCTTAGGCATACATGGCAGTCAGATTTTGCTGAATAGCAAACCAGTCTAAAGTTAATGATGAAATGAGTGCTGGTGGCATTTCGTGATTCTGAGGTCATCACTCTGAGGCCGTGACCCTGAGGCCGTGACCCTGAGGTCGTGACCCTGAGGTCGTCATTCTGAGGCCGTGACTCTGAGGTGGTTCTTGGGGGTGGACGTTCTAGGATAATCTTGCTTATATGTCTGGGCTTTTGGTGGGATGGCTGCCAAGACTGAGCCCCCCCTTTGTGAGGCTCTCACTTTGCTGAGGCTGGTGTGGGTAAGGGTGATGGCCATCAGCAGGGGAGGACAAACCCTTTGCAAGTCTGCCGTGTATGTGCTGAGGGCCCATTGATCAAAACAAACCTCTGTACAGGCAGCTTCAGAGCTGAGAAATAGGGTCCTTGTCTGGATGCCATCCTGGGGGAGTCCCACCTGCAGTCACACTTGAAGGAGCACACAGAGGCAGAAGGGGATTCTGTGGCCGCTTTTGCTGTTTGTCATAGCCTTCTGCCTGTGACACGTGTGTTGTAAAGATAAACCACGGGAACAGACGGGAGAGTGTTGGTTTTGTCGTCAGGTTTTGTTTTTTGGAGACGGGGTCTTGCTGTGGAACCCAGACTGACCTAGAACTTTCCATCCCCACTCTGAAACCTCCGGAATGCTAGACTGCAGATGTGGGCTACCACCCAAACCTGAAAAGTACTGGGAACATGAGACGTGATTTCTGAGCCAGGTGTGGTGACGTGTGCTTTAACCTCAGTACTTGGAAGCAGTCAAATCTGGGCTACTCGAGATATTGTCTTAAAAACCGAAGGAAAAATAAAGAGAGAAGTAGTCTTTGGGTTAGGAGCAGTCCGTGCTTCTCACCGGCCCGTCAGCGTCCGTAGAGAGAAGTTCTCTTGAACTCTCAGAGCGCTAAGCTGGATTATAGAGGAACAGCTTCAGAATTATGAAGCGAGTTGTTCTGATGGGGTGGAGGGAGTCCAAGAGTTTTGGTTGTGAGCCTAGCCTTTAACGGCTGAGCCATCCCTTCAGGCCGGGAGCCCAAGGTTTTAGGAGGCCTTTGGTCTGTCTTCTCCCTTCTTCTGCTCCTTACCCTCATTCTTCTTTTGTCTCACGTAGCCCAGGCTGGCCTTGAACTTGATATAGAGCTGAGGGTGAGCTTGACCTACAGTCTTCCTGACTCTGCCTCCCAGGCCCTGGAGGATAGGCCTGTGTCAGCATGCTGGCCCTTAGCAGGATGCGTCTGCTGCACACCTACCAGTGTCCCTAGTAAAGCTCTAACTCCTTCCTGTTTCGCTTTCATGTTTGAAAGTTCGAAAAGATCCAGCAGCTGACTGGTGCCTCTCACACTCCTGTTCCCACTCCCGACTTCCTATTTGAAATCGAGTACTTTGACCCAGCCAATGCCAGGTTTTACGAGACCAAAGGAGAACGAGACCTCATCTATGCCTTCCATGGCAGCCGCCTAGAGAACTTCCACTCTATCATCCACAATGGTCTGCACTGCCACCTGAACAAGGTAGGTCCGGGGCTCGCTGCTGGGGAGTGTGGGAGGGGACTCACGAGGAGGTGGGTTGGCTGAGGCCATGGTGCTTGGGGTGATCACCTGGGTAAATGCAGCATCTCAGGCCCACTGCATTTTAACAGGATCTCTGGGAAATTTCCAGGTTTATTATGGTTGGGGAAGCATTATTGGTTTCTGGCCTTAGCTCTACATTTAGATCACTTGGGAAACTTAAAAATCCCTGTGCTGCTGGTGGTGGTGACACACGCTTTTAATCCCAGCATTTGGGAGACAGAGACAGTGGGATCTCTGAGTTGGAGGCCAGACTGGTCTACAGAGGGAGTTCCAGGACAGGTTCCAAAGCTACAGAGAAACCGTGTCTCGAGAAACAAACAAACAAACAACAACAATAACAAAAAAAATCCCTGTGCTGGGACTGGAGAAGAGGCTCAGGAGCTAAGAGTACTTGCTCTTGCAAAGGATCTGGGTTCAATTCCCAGGATCAGCCTTGGGTGGGCTACCGCCTGTAGCTTTCTGTAGCTATCCAACACTGTCTTCTGGCCTCCATGGGCACTACACATAGAGACAGACAAGCAGATTCACAAACATGCAAATAAATAAAAAACTTAAAATAAAGAAAAAAATATTAGTACCAGAGAGCTTGGGATGTAACCTAGCTGGTAGAATGTTTGCGTGGTGTGCACTAGGCTCCAAATTAAGTCTGCAGCACCTGCATAAAATGATGTGGTGTCCACCTATAAACCTAACACTAGGGAAGTAGAGGTAAGAAGATCTGAAGGTCAAAGTCATCCTGGGCTACATGGGGAGTTTGATGTTAGCCTGTGCTACATGAGACCTTGTTTCACAAGAACAAAATGAAAATCCCAATACCAACTGCATCCCAGACCAATTAATTGAGACACTGCGAGAAGCACCTATCAGTGTGCTTCACCAACCCTTCCAGTGGTCACACAGTGTGGGCCCTGAGCCAGCAGGATAAGCATTACCCAGGAGCACTTCATTGGAAGTGTGAAGCCTCAGGCCTGCCTGAGACGACACTGTGAGAACCCACTCTTTAACAGGATCCCCAGGTGACCATAGCATTGCTGAGCTCCTGTCAGCCCTGAGAAATTGCGGGGTGTGCCAAGATTCAGCAAGAGGCGGTCCTTCCCCAGAACTGTTTTCCTCTCATTTTCATGAGTCAAAACTGCTAACCACCCTCTTCCTTCTGACACTTATTCTACCCCTCAGGAAGGAGGAGGAGGATGGCAGTCTAGGCCTGTCGTTCAACAGGCGTGGGCAGCTATGAGGGCCTGGGCAAAGGAACTTATGCTGTTCCAGTCTGTCCCCTCTTCTGTGGCACTGGTGCCCACTACCCTCTGAGCTCACGTGACAATTGGAGCGGCTTTATATTTACAAAGGCTTCTTGGTTTCCTAAGCTCCGGGAGAAGCAGCAGCTGCTATTGTAGGCCAGCGGAGAGGGCATCTGAGGTAGTAGGTGCTATGGGCCCTCCCCAGGCAGAGCAGCATCTGTCTTGTCTTGATGGGCTGGCTCCATCAGGGCTGATGTAGCCCCGAGGCTGGAGGAGCTTCTTCCAGCCCTGCTGCATCTGATTATCGCTGGTGGGTTCTGCTGAGGATGACGGGCTTGTTTATGCTGGCCCTGGGCTTACTTCTATGGCCAGGCTACTGGAATCCAGGGCTCTCTGTTTTACTCTGGAACTTGCCTGGAGAAGTTGCCTCAAGTTTGTACTCTAAGGTTCCCTTGAGGTAGCTCATGTACCAGGGGGAAGCTGTGAAGTTATCTTTCTTGGGGGTGGAAATGCCCCAGGACTCTCTTGAGCTCTCTGCTTACAGCAGCCTGGCACAAGGTTTTGAGTCTCAGAAGCTGAAGACATATGCAGGACTTAAGTAAAGGATTAATGTGCGGTGACAGAGAAATGAATGACTCAGTGGGTAGAGGTGACTTCTGCTAAGCCTGATGATCTGAGATTGGTCCCAGGCACTCACATGAAGGGAGAACAAACTCCCATAGGTATCTTCTTACCTGTGTGTCACACACACACACACACACACCACACACTACACACACCACACCACACACACACACACACCACACCACACCACACACACCACACACACACACACACACACACACCACACCACACATCACACACACACACACACACACTGTTTTTTTTTTCAAGACAGAGTTTCTCTGTGTAGCCCTGGCTATTCTGGAACTCACATTGTAGACCAGGCTGGCCTTGAACTCACAGAAATCCACCTGCCTCTGCCTCCCGACTGCTGGGATCAGAGGTGTGCACCACCACTGCCCGACTGAATAATTATCTATCTATCTATCTATCTATTATGTATACACTATTCTGTCTGTGTGTATGTCTGCAGGCCAGAAGAGGGCACCAGACATCATTACAGATGGTTGTGAGCCACCCTGTGGTTGCCGGGAATTGAACTCAGGACCTTTGGAAGAGCAGGCAATGCTCTTAACCACTGAGCCATCTCTCCAGCCCCCCTGAATAATTATTTTTACAAAGAAAGAGAACACTGCGGTGGGATCTGATCAGAGGATGTTCATTGTCCCTGGAGTTGGTCTGCGTCAACTTTGGAGAGAGGGGGACATTGTCCAACTTGGCTTGGGAGCTTTCCAAAGGTCAAGCAGAGGTCTGTTTCATTTGCCCCACACCACAGGGTGGGCCGTGTCTCAGTTCCAGAGCAGAGGATGTATTTCAGTCATCCTGGAGTCCAGGGTCATCTAAGATACTGGGACTAGCATCCGTAGATAGCAGTCAAATTTTACCTTGAGTATCAGGTCCGTCCATCGATGGAAGCTTCTGAACTCTGACGGGAAGTGTGACTAAGCGCCATGGTGGATGTTACTGTGACTGAGTGATGTTCAGTTGTTGGTGCCTGTCATAGCCAAGGAAGAGTGTGTTCCCTGTGCCTGCCGTAGGCTCTGTTTACCAGTGCTTTATGTGCCACTCTTCCTTAGAGAGGCAACCAACTTAACAGCCCTTGTCAGGCAGCTGCAGCCTAGCTTCTTGGATGTTTTCTTAGCCCACAACAACACAGAGTAAAACTCAACTCTGGTCCTCATGCCAGGTCCTTCATTTAGTTCCAGTTTTGTTTGTTTATTTTGTTTTGTTTTTTCGAGACAGGGTTTCTCTGTAGCTTTGGAGCCTGTCCTGGAACTTTCTCTGTAGACCTGGCTGGCCTCGAACTCAGAGATCTGTTTGCCTCTGCCTCACGAGTGCTGGGATTAAAGGTGTGTGCCACCACTGCCTAACTCGTTTCTTTTTCAAGTAATAGGATGTAACTTTCCTTTTGCAAACCCCTAAGTGTAGCTATGTTTAATGTATTGATGTAATGGGAATTACTTTGTTCATTATAACAGTAGCACCTGTGATGGCCTGCCCACCTGTGACTGTCACCGTCTCTTATGTGCCAGATAGCCTTCAAATGCACATTGTTTTATGTACATTGTGTATAGTTGTGTGTGTGTGTGTGTGTGTGTGTGTTGCTGAGGAGGCTGAATGCTTAGGCAAGAGCTCTACCACTGAGCTACTCCCCCGCCCTACCTTATGTCTTTGAAACGTGGTCATAAACTTATGGAGGAGGAACTTTCACAGCATTTTGTAGGTGCAGAAACTGAAACACAGAATTTATGTAGCTTGTTGGAACATTGAAACTGAGGTCTGTTTGAACTCCGATATCACTGTTGTTTTTTCCATTCAACCTTGACCGCAAGGTACAGCTCCTTTGCCAGGCTGGGTGGCCAGATCCTGTCAGCTGAATCCTGATCAGATGGGAATGTGTTTAGTAATGAGCCCTATGTTGACATCAGGTTATTTGTCTTGAAAGGGGTGGGAGGAGTGTGAAAATGTTTGTTTCCAGCTCTGTGGAAGAAGGACCTATGCCATCTGGTGACACCTCGTCTCCATTCCGTTTTCTGTGTTTTTTCTTTTCGCCTCTGCTCTTCCAGACATCTTTGTTTGGAGAAGGGACCTACCTCACGAGTGACTTGAGCCTGGCCCTCATTTACAGTCCTCACGGCCATGGGTGGCAGCATAGCCTCCTTGGCCCAATCCTTAGCTGTGTAGCCGTGTGTGAGGTCATCGATCATCCAGATGTCAAGTGCCAAACCAAGAAGAAGGGTGAGTGAGCGCTCGGCCCAGGCCTGGCTGCGGCCCTTGCTACTGGCTCAGGTGTGGGGTGGACGGCCATTGCATGCTTAGGGATGGGTCGGTCCAGAGCAGCCCAGGACAAAGGTTGGGCTGCAAGGACGGGAATGGCTTCTCAGGGATGGAACACGTGATAGGAAAAGATCACATTACAGGTAGGAGTCAGGGAGTTCTGGGGAGGGGCTGACAAGGGGCAGCTGAGAGGGTTCAAGAAGCCCAGGGAAAGCTTTGGGAAGGAAGCAGGATTTGACAAATGCAGGCTCTTCCAGAGGACCTGAACCCTGTGTCCAGCATCCACACTGTGGGATTCACAACCATCTGTAATTCCAACTAGGATCTAACATCCTCTTTCGGCCTCATGGGTACCAGACATGTGGTGAACATACATATATTCATGCAAAACACTCATACATAGAAAATAAAAATTAAGGAGAAAGAAAACAGGTGGTGACTCACTCCTTTAATCCCAGCACTTGGGAGGCAGAGGCAGGCAGATCTCTATGAGTTTGAGGCCAGCCTGGTCTACAAATCCAGTTCTAGGACAGCCAGGGTTGGTACACAGAGAAACCTTGTCCTGAAAAACCAAAAAAAAAAAAAAAAAAGATTTGACAAATGGAAACCTTACATACTTATAAGGTGAGGGCATGGCTCGTTGAGAGTCAGAATTTTGGTATTATTTCTGGGCACTTGCATCATCAGAAAACCTACAATTAACATTCAATAAAGGTTTGCACAACAAAAGCTAAGGATAATGGGTCCAGATTCTCTGAGCTCCACTGGAGTGTGCTGAAATCCCCAGACGACCAGGGGGGCATCTGAGGCCATGGACTCTCCAGGAGCTGATAGCTAGCAGCCACCTCAGCTCCACTGGCTGGAGGTGCCCCTTGGATTACATGCCCAATGCCTTCCCTGGGCCACCCTCCTCCAAGGCAGAAGAGTCCCAGGACTGTCATTCCAGTGTCCAAACTGGGCTGTTGGCTTTACTAAGAAGAGGAGAATTCAAGACAAACTGTTCTGGCCTCTAATGCGAAACAACTGGATCCAAGGAACAGGCCCAGGTCTGACGCCACACTCCCAAACCAGACAGCACGAAACGCTCGCTTGCTCGCTCGCGTGCGTAATCTTAGCAAGTTTGCATATGGAGACATTCGACATCAAAACACAACTGCCCAGCCTCTGCTGCCACAGAGCCCTGGCTTGTGTTTGATAAAGCCTTTCCGTGTTGTTAACAGGAAAGAGTGTCCTCCCTCCCTTTCAGACCAGACTTAAGTACTTGCTTAGCATGTACAGGGCCCTGGGTTCAGCACTGCACACGTCCACATAAAATCCACAACAACAAAAACAAAAGAAATTTTGCCTGGTGTGCTGGCATGAGCCTGTAATCTCAGTGAGTAGGAAGTGGAACAGGAGGATCAGCATACAAAGACTAGCCTTAGCTACTTTGTGAGTTTGAAGTCAGCCTTGGCTACATTAGATCCAGTCTCAAGTAAAATCCTATAAATAAATAAATAGATAGATAGATAGATAGATAGATAGATAGATAGATAGATAAAAGAATAAAGCCAAGCATGGTGGCGCACACCTATAATCTCAACACTTGAGAGGCAGAGGCAGGCTGATCTCTGTGAGTACAAGGCTAGCCTGCTCTGCATCCTTCCAGACTAGACAGAGGTCCTGTCTGAAAAAGATTTTTTTTCCCTTAAAATCCTGGGCAGGGCATGGTGATAGACACTTGTAATTCCAGTACTGGAGATGTAGAGAAGAGGGTCAGAATTAAAGGTTATCCTCAGCTACGGAGCAAGTTCAAACAAACAAAAGTCTTGGTAGGAGTGGTAGAAGTGTTTATCTGTCTTTGTGGTTGTGGATTTGAGACAGAATCTCACTACATAGTAACCCTGGCTGTCCTGGAACTCGGATGTAGACCAGGATGGCCATGAACTCACAGGCAATCTGCCTGTCTCTGCCTCCCTCTCAAGCGCGTTTAATCCCAACAATCAGGAGACAGGAGGCAGAAGCAGGTGGGTCTACATTGTGAGTTCCAGGATAGCCAGAACTACATAGTGTGGCCCTGTCTCAAAAACAAAACAAAACAAATACATGCTGAGATCAAAGCTGTGCTCCACCAGGCCTGGTGGAAGTAAGTGTTCTGAGAACTCGAATCTAGTGTGATTTATTCAGAATGCCTCCTAGGCCCTGGGGTTGTGACTCAATTGCTAGAGTATTCACCTGGCAAGTCTGAGGCCCTGAGTTTCACCTTCAACACAGCATCAACTTGGTACAGTATTGTGAGCCTGCAAGCCCAGCACTCAGAAGGTGGAGATAGGAGGGTCAGAAGTTCAAGGCCACCCTTAGCTAGGCGTTGAGTTCAGGCGTGGGTGAATAGTCTCTAAACAGATAAATAAATAAGCAGTCCTGCTGAGGCAGCTTTGCTCTCCAGTGAGTCCTGGTCCTGGCCCTCGGTATGTGACGCTGATCTGCCATTTCAGCCTTCCATTTGCAACTGCCTTCTGCGTGTTTTGTTCAGCGGATTTTCTTCTCTGTTTTCCTATTCTCTCTTCCCCATTTGTCTTCCTGCCTGCCAGAATCTCCTGTTCTCTGTGCTGATTCGCACAGGAACACGGATGCAGTCCTCAGCCTGCTGACTTTATGCCTCAGGAACACGAACCTTGACTCAATTCTATTTCTAATTTGTCGCTTTTGTTATTGCGTTCCCCTTCCCCCCGCACAACACCCGGCAAAGCGTGTTTCTCTCTCCTTTTTCAGATACCAAGGAGATTGACCGCAGCAGAGCAAGAATCAAGCACAGTGAAGGGGGAGATATCCCTCCTAAGTACTTCGTAGTCACCAATAACCAACTTCTTCGGGTGAAGTACCTGCTGGTGTATTCCCAGAAACAGCCGAGGAGGTAAGCAGGTGGTCCCTGTGTGAACTTAGGAGATGGCTGCTGTGTTGAGAGTGTCGATGGCTCAGCCGTCAGCATCGCCTTTCGCTCAGCCGCGGGCCTCGGATGTGTAAAGCCTGCGCCCCATGATGTTGGACACCCAAGGGAAGAGGTGGAGAAGGCGTAGGTAGCTCTGACTCCAACAGGACCAAACATACTAGTGGAGAAGATCGGTTTGGAAACAAGCCTGTTTGAGGGGTACATGAAGTCAAACTAGGACTCCCTGGGCAATTGGTTTGTCTGAACTCCATTTCAGAGATTGAGCCGAGAGGCAGGAAGGGAACCAGACAGTGGCTGAGAATGTGCAGCTCAGCTGAACCTGCTGTGGACCCAGCAGCAGATGAGGGCCTTTAGCTCTGGAGGACTGTAGAGGAGCCACATCCCATTCCATCTAGTAGCATGGTGGCAGGAAGAGGGTCAGGGTCCCTAGGGGTACTGTCATTTTGTCATCTTGCTATGTTGTTGGAGTCTGGTGGAGCTTCTGCCAAACCCACAGAAAAGGGGCTGCATTGAATATTCTGGGCTTTTTGTTTGTTTTGTTTTTTAAGGGTATGCGTGTGTGTGTGTGTGTGTGTGTGTGTGCGTGTGCGTGTGTGCATGTGTGCGTGTGCGTGTGCGCCTAGGGAAACCAGAAGGACTTCAGATCCCTTGGAGTTGGAGATACATGCTATTTACTTGAAAAACTCCATTCTTAACTAACTCCCTAGCGAGTGTTTTCTGTGCACATTTGGATGGCTTAGAACACCTCCCAGTGTAACACAAAGATTCCCAGGCTGGTGAGAACGCCTGCCACCAACCCTGACAGCTTGAGTTCAATCTCTGTGACCCACATGGTGGAAGGAGAGAACTGACACTCACCGGCCATCCTCTGGTTTCTACACAAACGCACACACACATGTACACACATGCACACACACACATACACGCACATACATATGCACACACACACACAATAATAAAAAAGATTCCCCCAGCTCAGATTTGTCTCTGCTCATACAGAAAAGACCTTCACTAAGTAGCTTGCGACCATCTGTGCAGACACCCTGAGATGGGGCATCCTTTTAAATACCAAAGCCTTAAGAAAAGCGAGTTATAAAAGGCAATAGAGGAGCTAACTGGGGAAGAGTGGGTGAGCTCATTGCATAGCTGTGTTTGTGCAGTCAGAAAATGTTCTGTTGAAAGGCGAGTTGGCGGTGCCAGGGCCAACAGCCCCAGGTCTTGGGCAGAGCCGCACGAAGCTTCCCTTCGAGGCTCACAGAGGATGAAATCCATCATGTCGTGTTCTCTGAGCCAGAACTTGCATACACTTAAAACAAAAAATGTTTTTCCCGAGTTGCCAACTCTCTTTTTCCCTCTGGGCAGGGCCTCACGCCAGCTCTCCTGGTTGTCCAGTCATTGGTTCATGGTCATGATGTCCTTGTATCTGCTGCTGCTGCTCATTGTGAGTGTCGCCAACTCCTCTGCTTTCCAACACTTCTGGAACCGAGTAAAGGGATGATCACAAGCACTTGGAGTGGGGGCCACTCACCGTGTGCCTTATGGAAGCTTGTCCTCTACCTCCTGCGTCCCATGTCCAGTCAGGCCGAGTTTGCGGACCAGTTGCAGGGGGGTGCACAGGACAATTTTCATATGCCATACATGTACTGATTGCCTTTGATGATGTGCCCAGCCACAGTCCAGTCAGTGGGGACCCTCAGCCCCTCACTTGTCTGCCTCTTCCTAAATAGTCTAGGGAGGTGGCTCTTCAGCTAGGGCCAACGGGAAAGTAACTCCTGCTGCGTTTAAAAGCAAAGTGTCCAAGCTGTCGGTGGTGTTTCCAATCGCTCGGATGGAGGCTGGCCCTTTCTCTAATGCCTTTTGGAAGACAGAACTTGAGGGTGATAAATCACTAAGTGGTTGCCTTGTTTTGACTCAAGACACCCAAGAGGGACAGTCGTGTTTCTCATTCAAATCAGTGGGATCGTTTGGGGATTCCATCAGCTTTAGTCTGCGGATGCAAAACATTTGAACGGTTTTCTCAGATCAACAAACGGTCTCTGCTACAGCTGTCCCTCCCTCCCTCCTTAAGCACACGAGAGAAGGATCCTCAGCGGATAACAAAATGCAGACTTAACAACTAGCAACTCTGTCATCGTTTCTAAAAATGGCCAACTGCTGATTACAGCTGAAACGGAACCAAATGATTGTTTTCTGTTTTTGTTGTTGTTTGTTTTTAAGTAACTGACAAATTAGCCTCTGTGAGCCAAATAAAAGGGGAGATGTCTAAACCTGGAGCACCAAGTGGCCTGGGTCCACAGCCTCTTTCCTGGCTGTGTTACAGGGAGAAGGATCCAAGCCATAAGCTCGCTATGGTCCTCGTTCCCACGAAGCTGCCTTGACATACAACACTCTAGGCCTTCAGGGGCCTGCTGGCCTTCAAAAGAGAGGCCTGCCTCAGTAGGCCACACATCTTCACGGGCTGGGTCTCCCTCAGAGGAGCCGTTGTCTTTGGGACTCAGCCTGAGCTTTAGTGTGTGAGGAGAGAGTCCCCAGCTGTCCGTGCTGTGTTGTTCATTCCCTCCTTCCTGCCAGGCTTCAACCAGAAAAGAACCCCGTTGAACGGGAATGAGGTTTTCATAGAGAATGAGAAAATCATTTTCTACAATTTGTAAAGTTTGTGAAAAAGCCACTACTATGGTTTTTAAATCAAATAGTAGGACAATTTAAAAATCAATAAAGATATTTTCCTAAATACCAAGCTGTCTCTGTGACTGTCCACGGCCGTACTCAGTATTAAAAACCTTACTCTTTTCCTTCATGGTGGACAGGAGTGGCAGTGGGACTTGTAGGCGTTGACCTCACAGACGTGAACAGCTACTGTGTGCTATGCATAGGGGTACAAGTAGGATCATGTTACCCACCCGGAGCTGGCAGTCCAGCAGTGTGGGCAGGTAGACAAGCATTTCAGGGGGAAGCTGGTGTCCTGAGATACTATAAAGGAGAAACATGGTCTGGGGTCAGGAATACAGAGCCACTACCATAGACTGTGTATGTGTGTTGTTTATTTCGTCTCCACAACAGGCCTGTGTACTTTAGCAGATAAGGATCTGAAGGCAGCCCAGAAAGCTTACTAGCTTGTCCACCAGGAGGAAACGCAGAACTGGAGTTGAACCTGGAAGGCTGGGTTCTCATACCCATCCTCGGAGCTAAGTGGAGCTTCTGCCAAACCCACAGAAAAGGGGCTGCATTGAATATTCTGGGCTTTTTGTATGTTTTGTTTTTTAAGGGTGTGTGTGTGTGTGTGTGTGTGTGTGTGTGTGTGTGCATGCAGCCAGGAAAACCAGAAGGGCTTCAGATCCCTTGGAGTTGGAGATACATGCTATTTACTTGAAAAACTCCATTCTTTTCTTGTTTTGTTTTGGTTTTGGTTTTTGAGACAGGGTTTCTCTGTGTAGCTTTGGAGCCTGTCTTGGAACTCACTCTTGTAGACCAGGCTAGCCTCGAACTCACAGAGATCCGCCTGCCTCTGCCTCCCGAATGCTGGAATTAAAGAAAGGCATGCTTTCCCCTTCTGGTTTTAAAAGAAATTAAAACATTTCCCAACTCTAAGTCTGAAGTGCCGAGCTTCTTTTGTCTCGTGGGTGCAATGGCCCTGAGAAGGATTGTGTGAGGTGCGCTGAGACCTCTGGGTACCGGTAAATGATCAGCCAGGAAGGAGACAAGGCCTAAAAGACTCAACTCTACTCAGCCCCTACCCTAAACCTAAGCCAGATGCCATCTGAACAATAGCTCTGGGGAAGGCAAGCTGGGAACCTTGAGGTGGGGCTCAGGAGGAAGCAGCTTCCTCTCTGTTTATTGTGCCCACTGGGGAGGAATATCCCCGGACAGTTGATGGCAGAGGAGGTCAGCTGCCTTGGCCTTGTGAGAAGCACCCTCCCAGCTCTGTCAACTACCGTCATTGCCTGGAATGCAGCATTCAGAGAGGTGTCAAGCGGGCCTCTCCCAGGTAGGAAGCCAGCTTTGAAGGGCCCAGAATCCTGTGAGCTACTAGTGCGTGTCCGTGTAAATGAGGGGGAGCATATGTGTTTCAGTGTTGGTTATGATTAATTCATTCCATTAAATGGCAGTTGCCTCCCAGGCCAGGCCAGGGCTGGAGAGTTGCTTTTAAAGAGCCCAATTCAGGTGTTTTTCTTTATAACATGACCGCATCACATCTGCGCCCATCCACGGCTAAACCCAGGAGGTTTGTGTTGGCATGGAATCTGCCGAACTCACCCTTCCCGTTGCCATGGTGACTCTTAGGCCCTGGGATTGGATTCTGTTCTTCACACACAAACATGACCGTACCCCTCCCGAAGCCCCTTTAGCACTCCCACCCCCCCCCCTTCACGGTCTCACCACATCTCCCCTCCCCCCCACCGCCAAGTTTTCCATCTCTTGGCCTTTGTTTGTTTTTGGTTTTTGTTTTTTTGGTGGTTTTTTTTTTCCTTTGTCCACTCTCCACCATGGGTTTTTGTTTGTTTCCCAACTGTCTGGGGCTGCGCACCATGGAGACAGTGCTCTGGGATGCCTCTGACCCTGATCTGGTTAGGAACCCCTTCGCATTGCGTGTATCTCCAACCTGATGTTCAGAACATCCAAAACAAACCCCGACATTCCAAAGCAAGATAGAAACCACCATCCCCACCCACTCTGCTGGCGCCCTGGTCCACCTGGAAAGGGCTTTGAAAATTTCCAGCGTTCCGAAGCAATGTCCATGAAGGGAGAGCGCTGTCTGCTGAGCACTTTAGTCCGAGCGAGCTGCATTTTGTATCAGGCTGATGTTTTCGGCATTAAAATTCCACCGGAAGCTTTCAGAGGGCAGGCTTCTTAGCACAGATATACACACATTTCTCGGTCGGTGCACTCAAGAGAAGTTTGTTGAGTGACTTTATGAATATTCATGGATCCACACCCACCCACCCCAAAGCAAAGAGTGATGGTTGAATGGCAGTTTAAGAGGATTGGAACTAGACCTCAGGAAGTGGGGGTGGGGGGGTGGAGTCGGTGGGTGAAGGCTTCTGGGGGAGGCTGTTGTTAGGCTTGGGGAAATCCTTTTAATCCCAGCACTCAGGAGGCAGAGGTAGGCCTATGTTTCTATGAGTGCAAGGCCAGCCTGGTCTACAGAGTAAATTCCAGGACAGCCAAGGCTACACAGAGAAACCCTGTGGGGGCGGGGGGAGGCCCACTAAGCTGGAACAGGAGGATTGCCACAAGTTTGAGGCCAGCCTGTACAGATACCTATCCATCTTTTTTATTTTTTGAACTCCAGGCTAACCTGGCTATAGTGTGAGAGCATTTCAGAACAAAAACCTGAAACATTCAAGACACCAAAACCCAAAGCAAAGCCTGTCTAGGAACAGGCTTTAGTAATGAGTTGGGAGACAGAGAGAAATAACTGGAGACTCACCAGCAAAAGGAGCTCCACTAATGGGGCAGTGGAGTCAAGCATGGCTCTGTCTGTATTTAGCAGGAGGACCCCACTGGAAACAGCATGTATTCTTCCAGGCCCTTCCAGCCAGCCTTGGTGTCATGGGTCAGGTCAGTCAGACTACAGGAGGAGGCAAGGTCAGTCTGAACTACTGGACCCATACATTGCAAAGTGGCTTAAGATTTCACTGGTCTTGGGCAAGCACAGGCACAAGTATTTCCATATGGACAGTTGCCAGAAGTCTGCTGGACTTCAACTTTTGTGTTTACTTATTTATTTTAAAGACATACACGTGCGCGCGCGCGCGCGCACACACACACACACACACACACACACACACGTACGCACGCACGCACGCACGTGTAGGTATACGGATGTGAGTACCCTTGGAGACCAGGGACAGTTGATCCCTCTGAAGCTAGAATTACAGGTGACTCGGGGTGGGGGGCAGTTCCTGGGTCCCCTCATTACATGGGTACTAGGAACCATACTCAGGTCCCCTGGAAGAGCAGCACATACTCCTAAAAGCTGAGCTGGACCCCTGCCACCAAGTGCAGTGTAAAGGAATGGGGGTGGTGTGTACTTGGAAAGTCTCACCCCGTAGCTCTTGAATTTCCTAATTTCCCTGCATCAGGTCACCCATTCTTGTTACCCAGGGCCCGCTCACCCTTCTGATACTGCTCCGACCTCTCCTCCGGGGCATTCCCCATTTTCTGCTCTCCTTGGGTCCTGGTAAAGCGGCTGACTGTTTTTCCATCCACCCACTCTTGAATAGAAGCAGTCGTTGGTTTCAGACATGGGCATGTGACCCAGCTGGGTAATAAAATCTCTGCAAACTCAAGTCCAGTCTTGTGGCTGTTCCTGGGAGAGAGATTTGTGCCTCCTGGTCCTGAATGTGGGAGGGTGGACCTTCTGCTGCCTTTGGGTCTGTTGGCTTTGTGTTTTAGAGGCAGGGCCTGCCTGTGCAGCCTGCGACAGCTTGGAACTCTGTCCTGCTGCTCTGCCTCCCGTGCACTGGGATTACAGGCAAGTGCGATCCTGCTGGACCTTGTCGCCACCCCGCTGCCTCCTTGCTCCCATGAAAAGCCTCGGACTAATACCAACACAGTGGAAAGCAGGGCTGTTGTGGTGCTGTTCACAGAAACTGGGGCACTTAAAGTCAGGCTTTTCATCTGGCGATCCATATATTCTTTATGATTTAACGAAGTTAAATTGGGTCTGGTGAGAGATGAAAGCGTGTGCATCGGGGAAGGGGTGCCCTCAGCTGTCCTAGATTCTCTTCACTTTTGATGGAAGTCGATGAATTATGAATGTGGCTTTTAAGCTGGTGAGTCTGGATCATGGATGTTTGATTGCCTTTATAACCCGTGGATGACACCACAGTGCACTCAGATGTGCACAACATGAAAGACGGACTCCAGAAAATGTGGACTCTGGAGCTGGAGTAAGAACAGAAGTGGGTGGGCACAGGCTGCAGCTAGAGAAGACTAAGGCCAGTGGGTCTCAGCCTTCCTAATGCCATGACCCTTTACTGCAGCTACTCATATTGTGGTGACCCCCAACTGTAAAGTTATTTTATTGCTACTTTATAACTGTAATTTTGATATTGTGATGAGTCATAATGTAAATATCTGATATGAAGGATATCTGATGTACGACCCTTGTGAAAGAGTCATCTGATCCCCAGATGGGTTGTGACCCTCAGATTGAAAACCAGTGGCCTAGGCTGATGGTGGAGGAAGGCTGTGGTGCCAACACCAGGCCCAGTGGGCAGAAAAATCTCCCTATTGAGAGTCCTTAGCCCTTCTGCCTAGTTAAGCATGGGCCACGTGGGGTGCCAGAAGTGGATCCCACAGGAAATCTCCCTGGATAGTCACTTATTAAGCAAAGCCTTGCACTCAACCCTGGTCACCTGTTAATCCCAGGCACTTCAGGCCCAGGAGGTGACCATGAGGCCCACAGGCACTGAAGGAGAGGCAGGCAGGGGGACCCTCCGTCCTGTCCCGGCTGTTGCTCAGGCGGTGGGGACCCTCCCTCCTGCCCCAGCTGTTGCTCAGCGCTTAAGCCTCCAGCCTGCTCTGATTATGATTTCTTCGAGACCACAAATTCAGGCACTGCCAGCAGCCAAATTCTTCTCCAATTGTCTGAGTTCTTCTGAACATCGGAGAATAAACAGTCTCTGCTGTCTAGCCAGTTGTGCCGAGCAGTATTTTTGTCTTCTCCTGGCTGGCTGGAGGGGCTACAGTTTTGTGTTCACTTCCAACTGGGGCCTGGGGGCCCTGGCAGTG